TGTGCAATTCTTTGTGGTGGACGTGTTTTGCTTCAGTGATCTGGGTGTCGCTTTAGCCTGGCCCTGGCGTGCATGAGAACATTGGCTCCCCCGCTTCGGGACCGCCTCCGTCTCATTCTGGGCGGGGCCGCCGCCAACCGCTGCGGAGCCGCTGGCCTGCAACAGTACCCACGGACTTGCCTTGATCTTCGTAATGCAATGCACGGATTCAGCTTTTTGTAGGGGCTTGAGCCGCTGTTGGACACCGCTGTGTGATCCTGCGGGGCAGGCGATCCGCGCTCTTAATACCGATACAGTGTTTCACTTGTTTGGCCTGCGGTTCCGTGGTCTCCCGTCCTCCTTCTGCTCTGCTTGCCGTGCTCTGCCTTCTTCCTACTCTGTTATCTCCTCTCTCGCTCGCTTTCCTGCCTTTCTCCGTGCTGCTCTCGCCTCTTCGTTTTTCCTCTCTGGATCCTGCTTCCCTCTCCCTGCTTGTGCTGCTACTGTCCATGCGTTCCGTTGACTGTGTGAAACCTCTTTCGCATTATTCGGAGAAGTTGTGCTGAATGCAGAAGTTCAGCAGCTACTCTGCTGGCCTGGGCGAGTGGGAGCGGCGAGGGAATCGGCTACGCTGCAACTGTCACCGCGTGGGAGGAGTTGTTTGTTTTGGGGGAAGGAAAAACACACGCCTCACAACTTTCGGATCCTCATGGACGACCACGCCCACCTTCCCGTTCCCTTCCCACCTCGCGGATTACGTATTTATGAGCCGTGTAAGGGCGACCGCGCTCTCCCTCTCCACCTTCACGGCTACCGCATTTGTTGTACAGCTGCCCATTGCAGTTCTACAGCAGGCTGTCCACCACTGCTGCACAGCCTGCTGACGTGCACGTCGGCCGCCTGCAGCTCCAGCGTCCTGCCATGCTTGCCTGCCGAGTGCTCTGCCCTGCATGGCCTGCTTGATTTGCACGCCCGTGCTCCTTCGGGGGGCAGGCCATCCTCCTCTTCTCCTCCCTCTCTTTCCCGCCCTCTCCCTTCTCCCCCTTCGGCTTCACCTTACAGCATGCCACCGACCTTCGGGAAGCCAACTTGTTGCAGCCATGCTGGCTGTTCCTGGCCTGGCTCCTGTGTTTTTCGGCACGAGGCGTTGTGCACGTTATCTGCACAATGCACCAAAACATGAAGCCGTCATTGGCGTTGGAGGGGGCCGAGGCTCTCCCTACGGTCCCTCGGCCAACAAAGACGGCCGTGGGGCGGGGTGCCAAAGTACCTCCACAACTCAGACCTTCAAGACCTTAAGGCGCCAATTGCCACCATGCACTGTTTTCCTCCTCACCCTCTTTTCCCGCCGCTCTCCATCACTTCTCTTGGTTTGTGTGCGCCTCCGCTCGCGAGGGCCATCTATGCGGGTACCGACCCCCTGGGCTGGTGTGCGCGCGCGGGTGCACGGCTAGTGTGCTTCTTCATCCCGTGTTTCTCGTCTTTGCCCCTTTCGCTTGCTCCTCCGTTGGTCCACGAACGTGTTTGTCGCAGCGCGCTTGTTCAGGACACTTACGGTTGAGGGAAAATTAAGCATCACTCCCCTTTCCCCCCGCAATTCAAAGTTGGCACGCATACGCATCACTGGTCCGACACTCAAACTCGGGAGATCCGAGCCCAACATTGCCTTCGGGGGGAGGGGGGAGAGTTCACACCATATGTTACGCGTGAGTGTTGCTTAATTGTTTCCGATACCTGTATCTACCAGAGGACTGGTACCATAGTATGCGTAGACATTCGGTTGTCGCCGAGGGTCAGGGGAGCTCTTTGCCGCCAGGTCGCGTTTAAGAGGTCGTATGCTGCTGCGCCTTCATCGTGGAACAGGAAAATCCACGACAGTCACTCCTACCGCTCCTGACGGCCGGTACCACATCCACTATTACTACCGCCACTGTCACGGCCACTCCGCCGAAACTCTCACTAACACCAGTTCCACCAGCACTACACGGGAGCACTACCACTGCCACTACGTCATTGTTCGGACCGCAGCAGCTTTGAAGGACCAGCACTCTCAACATGCTCGAGAGAAGCAGCAGGATGAGCAGGAGAAACAGGAGGAATATGAGAAAGGAGGATGGTTAGCAGCAGCAGTGGTAGGAGCAGGCACATGAGGCAGGATGACTAGGAAGACCAGGGGAAGGCGGTGGAGAGAAAGGAGGGGCGCAAAAATGACGAGTAAGTAATCGGATCCAGCAAAATGGCCCGCGCTTGAGCGAGAGCGACTTTCTGGACGACAGGAGCAAAGCGCGCATCCTGAAAACACCATTTTGAAACACCGAAGGCGTCCCCAGCGGGCAAAAGCATTTGACACATCAAGCATTGGAATCCTCTGCCCCCAACAAAACGCATGCGGGAGAAACGGGCCTCGCTCGGACAGGATGCGGGGAGAGATGAGGGTAGTGTTGATATCAAGCGATGTGTGCTCCCACCCATCCCTTCCCATTTCGCTGATGTGTTTTCTATCCGCCGTTGGGTGTAATAGCGGGCCTGGGCTCCCACCAAAGGAGCCCATTATGACACATTGTGTTATACGCAATCATACAAAAGGGAGTTGCGTACGTTGGAAGAGAAGGTGGCGGACGAGCATGAGGATGAGCAGGATGAAGAGGAGGATGAGGACGGTGGGAGGACGAGGAGGAACCGCAGCAGCAGGAGCAGGAGTGGGAGGAGCGAGAAGAGCAGGATGACCAGGGGAAGGCTGGGGAGGATAAGAGGAGCGGGGCGACAACGATGTGGAATAACTCGGGTCTAGAAGAGTGGCCCGCGCTGGGGCGAGAGCGCCGTTCCGAAAGGCAGGGCCAGAGCTGCCGCGGGAACACCGTTTTGAAACATCCAACACGTTCCGATTTGAAACCATCCATCTGACAAATCAGTGCTTGAAATCCAGTGTAACAAACAGTACACGGCGAGGACGGGATATTATCAGGACGTAGTCGGGGGGGAGAGAGGATCATAGTTTTCAGACCGAGTAATTGTTGAGCGATTGTAGAAAGGAGAGGAAGGAGGAGGAGCAGCAGCAGCAGCAACGACAAAAAGAGGAGAAGGAGGAGGAGGAGACGGAGGAGGAGGGGGAGGGAGAAGGGGGGAGGAGAAGGAGGAGGCGGATGAGGAGAATGAGGAGGAGGAGGAGGAGGAGGAGGAGGAGGAGGAGGAGGAGGCACAAGGGAAAAGGAAACAGGTCACGCGGAGCGCGGCACAACTTTGTCCGCACCTGTGGGGCGAGCAGGGGATGCCCCACGATCATCGCCAGGTCGTGTTGTCGCACGTCTCAGTTTCCCACCCTGTCCTGCGCATTCCAATCGCCAGAGGGCGCCAGAGAAGCTGTCGGGATGAGGAGGGGCTCAAAGAGCCCCCCCGATGCTCAACCCTGCACCGCGACCTCCGACGCCTCGCCCGACGCCCAGCCCGACGCCCGATCCGCCGCTCTGCCCGACGACTGCGTCCAACCCGACGCCCTGCCCGACGCTCAGCTCGTCGGCTGGGACGATATCCCGACACATGCCGAATGGCTGGCCTTATCCGACGCCGCATTCCATGACTCACCTCCCAGCAGAAACTTCCCAAATGGGGTGCTCCAAAAGAGATCAAAAGAGAGCCTCACCTTCGAGCAACCTAAGGGTTGCCCTCGTGCCCTTGGCAGACGCCGGCGGAAAGTTTGTCGTCGTCGTCGTCGGAAGCCAGGGCGGAATGTTCGCGGAAGCTGGGGGAAATTGGACGAGGATGGTTCCGCTGGCGGAAGCCGGTGGAAGGTTGACGGGAGTTAGCGGGAGTGAAATATGCAGCACCAGGTCAACGCCAGCAAACCCAAAGTTTCCAGAGTCGGGCAAGTTGAGGTTTTCATTTCCAGAGTGGTTTCTGGAACCTCACTTAGGATATTCTGGACCCCTGTGTGAGGTTGGATAACTCGGGGTATCCTGAGCGGACCCCATAGCCCGGGGGAACGGAGATCCAGGACGAGTCGAAGGAGGGAAGGAGGAAGGGAGGGCTGGGGGACAGGGGAGGGGAAGGCTCGCAAAGGGGAGGATCGATAAGCGGAAGTTGAAGGGAGGCACGGGAGTCGTAGGCGGATCGAGTAAAGGATGGACAGGGGCGCCTGCGGCAGGGAAGGGCAGGGGTGGGGAGGGGACGCGGGCGGAGGGATGAAGGGAAGGGTATGGGGGGGGAGGGCGTGCGCAGACGGAGATGGGAGGCGCAGGGGAGGGGCGAGGCGAGGGGCGCTCGGACCACCAGCTTGCAGCAGCACGCAGTCATCTTGGCACAGGGCCCAGCGTAGAGGCTCGCGCGCAACGCTCCCTCAGCAGGGCAATCGCCACCACCCGAACAAGCGATGGTCCGCCCAGTGGTCTACGCCCCGACCAAGGCTTTCAAGCTGTCAGATGCGGAGACGGCCAAGTACAAGGATGGCGCGACTCAGGGTTGCCGACAGACAGCCTCCCGGCTGGTCTCAACAGATCCAAGGCAGTCCAGAGCGATCTCAAGACATATCAGCGGCGCAATCAGGGGCGCTTGGTGCCTTTGGGTCAGAGTGTTGAGGCCGCCCCGGATTCCCTTCCGTCGCGCGTTGAGGCCAGCCGGGACTACCTCCAGAGGCTGTTTGTGCGCAACTCTGAACCTTGCCCACACGAGGAGATCAACGCGACCGTGGCTGGGAAGAAGGACTCGGACCCGAAGGCCGCGCTGGCCAAGATCGAGGCGGCGCTCGCGCTGGTTAATGCCGCGGAGGCGGCGGCCGACGACACTGTGTCCACCTCCGACGCGGCCTTCGTGGGCATCGTTCTGGGTGGCGCCAACAGTGGCGAGGCTGTGAGCGGCGGCGACCTGGCTGTGGACACCGAGGACGTGACTGTGGAGGAGCCAAGGGTGATCGCCGAGGAGGACGAGGAGGGGGAGGACGAGCGCTCTCTGTGGGGCGACGGTGAGGACGACCCGAACGAGGAGAAGGACGAGTGAGCGGGCCCGTCATCCGTGGAAGCCCGTGAGCGTGCTGCGCGACAGCGGCTTAAATGACGGTGGCATCGTGACCGTGACAGGCATTGGCAGCAGCAGCAGCAGCAGCAGAAACAGCAGCATAAGCAGCAGTAGCAGAGGCGGCGGCATGCAATTCACAAGCGTCGGCAATGTCGCCATAATCATGCACCTGATCTGTACTTCGCGCCTTGGGCTCCATCCGTTCTCGCTTGCCTGCTTCTGGGGCCTGTGCTGTACCGATATCGTTCGGTGCCGAATGGCCCGATGAGGTTTACCGAGTACATGTTTGTTTGTGGTGCTTGGATGTGACAAGTACTATTTCCGCCCTACGCTATGCCACTCATACTGTGGCGTGCCAGTTGAACGTGGCACAACGCCTGGATTTCATGTAGCCGTAAGGCTCCCACGGTGCCATCCAAGAGCGGGTAATCGCGTATTCGCAGTAATCCTCGCGTGTACGAGGATGCTCGTAAGCTTGCCTTGGTGGGCACTTGCAGACTGAAAGTGATGACCCTTCCATGCAGTTTGCGGGGTGCCGCGCTTTGTCCAGGAGGCCATAGCTGAGAGTATGAACAGGGCCGAAACGAATCTTGACGCTTTGCGTAACCTCACCAGCCCATCAAGAAACGATGTAGAGAGGATGGGAGGAGGAGGCGGAGGAGGACGAGGAGGAGAAGGAGGAGAAAGAGGAAAGGATGAGGAGGCGGAAGAGGAGGACAAGGAGGAAGAGGAGGAGGAGGAGGAGGAGGAAGAGGAGGAGGAGGAGGAGGAGGAGGAGAGGAGGAGGAGGAGGATGGATGGAGAGGAGGAGGGGGGAGGGGGGAGGGGGGGTGAGGGGGAGGGGAGGGGCAGGGCGAGGGGGGGGGGAGAGGGAGGAGGATAATAGGCGGATGAGAAGGAGGAGGAGGAGGAGGAGGAGGAGGAGAGGAGGAGGAGGAGGAAGGAGAAGTTACGTGCCTCGTGCGCCACGTTTGCTCAACGCAAAAAGGAGGAGGAGGAGGAGGAGGAGGAGGAGGAGGAGGAGGAGGAGGAGGAGGAGGAGGAGGAGGGAGGAGAAGGAGGAGGAGGAGGAGGGCGAGTAAGCAGGTCAGAGGCCTCTTGGATGCTTCTCGGAGTCTCTTGGATGTTTCTTGAGAGCTTCTTGGAGCCCTCTTGGGGCGTCTTGGGGGCCTCTTGGCGGTCCTGGGGCCTCTTGAAGCTTTTTGGGTTCCTCGGGGGAGCCTCTTGGGGCCTCTTGGGGGTCTCTTGGGAGCCTCCTGGGGGCCTTGTGGCGGTTTATTGGGGCTTCCTGGGCGACTCTTGGGGCCCTCTTGGGGCACTCGGGAGCCTTGGGGGCTTAGGGCCATCTTGGAGGAGCTCGACCAAAGAATGGGGGTGACGTTCTCAATTAGGGCCCCCTGGAAGGAGGCCAAAGTGGGTTTAAATCTTTTGTGCCCTCTCACCGAGGCCTTCTTGGACGCTCCAACGATCCGCGACCCTCCCCCCATCTAGGTCCAGGGGAGGGGGGCGAGTTCGGAGCAGGTTGCGCAGGCGGTCCTCAGCTTCGGACACATGTCACCTCGCCGTTTGTTCCGACGCGCGGCCTTCCATCTTGGGGAGGGCGCCTCGGCCACCAGGGCAATCGCCGCCTCGGGCGCGGTGGACTCGTCGTGGGGTTTGCCGCGGTGCCGGCTTCGTCTATCTGGGGCGCGGGGCGCAGGGTTTGCCGCGGGTTTGCCGTGGTCGCGTCGAGAACATTACGCTTACACTGGGCAGTTCAGTTTGGCTTTCAGAAGGCTGTTTTGGAAATGCGGTCCTTGATTCCTGGGGAAATATCAGCGGCTCGACGCCCATTACAATATATGGGGCTTGCCGGCCACCCCTGCGAGAGTCGCCAATTCAGTGACCGATGCCGTGCATCTGGCTGACGGGACAGGGGGCAGAAGGATGTTCCTAACAGTTGTGATTCTTCGGGGATTGTGGCTTGGCGTCTGGCGCGCGTGCCACCCAGGCCGCTCCGGAGCGACCCAGCCCCACCTCCCCAGCCAACGCCAGCAACAAGACAAGTGGCATGCCAGCTGGAGCTCTCAGAGAATTACTCGAGGTATGGGTCTGACAGGAGCTACTCAATGCTGGCTCGAAGTTGATGTCCCCAATGTTCGCCCTATGATGCAATCAGTGCTTGCACTCAGGGCTTCTTGTGGACAGGAGAGGGTGCACAGTTGATGGTGTTGTTTTTCGCAGCTCGAAGGACATGGAACGGTGCCGCACGCTCGGGGCGTTCTGGCAAGGAGCCAGCAGAAGTCATGCAACTCACTCGGGCAACATTCTCTCATTGCGACCTCGCATCGAACTCATGTTGGAGGAATGCGGAATGTCGAAGCAATACCTCCGAAGCAGCAGGGCCTCCGTGCCAGCAGGACGTGCGGCAGCCTTGGCAGTGCCCCGAGCGCCCACGATTTCTCCTGCACTTCTTGCTCTTCCTTGCCGTGAGGCTGCCTCCTCTCTCCTCCTCCTTTCTCCTCTTCCCTCCTC